TGTGTGTGTATCGCTTTGACTGCCGTTGTTGTTGTGCGTCATAGCAATGAGTGTGTGTGTTGTGTATGCATTCCAACGGGGTAAGGAAGAAAGAGAAGAAGAAGCAGTACCTGTCGCCAATAAATATCGTTTATCGATGTCTGTCTGTCTGTGTTTATTTAGAAATTCCCTCCTCCCTGTCCCCTACCGCAAGAAAAAATTGCCCTGCTTCCATCTCCTTTCCCACCTAAAGTAGGGATCAAGTGTAATCGATAATGCATACATATCGATTGCTCCACTGAGAAACAGCAGAAAAACACACAGAGTGCAAGCTGGTAAAGAAAAGCAAAACAAATTACACAAAGCAGAAAGAGAGGTGGAAAAGAAAGTGTAGGGAAAGGGTAGACAGCAAAAAGAGTCTCTGGTGATATTAGTTAAATGTCAGCTGGTCAATAAATTGTCGCCACTCTTTGATAGGGCAGCTATCCAAAACTTTCCCAAAAAAACAACAATGAAACAACGTTAAAGAAGATGCAAATCATTTGTATTAATGTGGAAAACATAAAGCCGTACACGATTACATTTTCTAGGATCCGCAACACCTGTTATTTTGATTGTAATAGTTGCCTCTGTAGTATAGATTGTTGTTTTGAATCTCTCAATAGCCGTCTTTTTCACAACTTCTGCAGTTTTTCAAGTGAACGCCCACAACTGTTTTTGAAGCGAAGCCCTTAGGCGGAGGAGCAGTTAGCCAGGATGGACAAGATGAGGATATTGAAGGAAAGTCGCCCCGAGATAATCGTCGGTGGCAAGTATCGGGTGATCAGGAAGATTGGTAAGTGAGCCGTGTTGGTTATACCCCCATAACTTGTTCTAATCTTTGGAAACGATTCACAGGAAGCGGTTCGTTTGGCGACATTTACCTGGGCATGAGCATCCAGAGCGGCGAAGAGGTGGCCATCAAGATGGAGAGCGCCCACGCCCGCCATCCGCAGCTGTTGTACGAGGCCAAGCTGTATCGCATCCTGAGCGGCGGCGTGGGATTCCCGCGCATACGCCACCATGGCAAGGAGAAGAACTTCAACACCCTGGTCATGGACCTGCTGGGACCCTCGCTGGAGGATCTATTCAATTTTTGTACGCGCCATTTCACGATCAAGACGGTGCTGATGCTGGTCGACCAGATGATCGGACGCTTGGAGTACATCCATCTCAAGTGCTTCATCCATCGCGACATCAAGCCGGACAACTTCCTCATGGGCATCGGTCGCCACTGCAACAAGCTCTTCCTGATCGATTTCGGTCTGGCCAAGAAGTTCCGCGATCCGCACACGCGTCATCACATCCTATACCGCGAGGACAAGAACCTCACCGGCACCGCCCGCTATGCCTCGATCAATGCCCATTTGGGCATCGAGCAGTCGCGGCGTGACGACATGGAATCGCTTGGATACGTGATGATGTACTTCAATCGCGGTGTACTCCCCTGGCAAGGCATGAAGGCCAACACCAAGCAGCAGAAGTACGAGAAGATCTCCGAAAAGAAGATGTCCACGCCCATTGAGGTCCTATGCAAGGGCTCGCCGGCCGAGTTCTCCATGTATCTGAACTATTGTCGTAGCCTGCGCTTCGAGGAGCAGCCAGATTACATGTACCTTCGTCAATTGTTCCGGTGAGTACGATTAAAGCTCGGTTTTGCCCCTTTTTTTTTTGTTTATTGCATACGAATAATGAGCCTAAGGCAGGCACACAGATTATATACGAGTAGTCTTGGGTTGCAGATTTTTTCTTAAATAAACCCAAACTGTATTGGGTTCCAGAACGAAGTAATCCCATTTGTAGTTAACATTTTTACGTACGTATATATACAATTTCCGTGATATAAATGAGTTAAAAGCAGTCTTCATTCTATTCTATAGCGTAAATAAATAATGTGACATTTCTAAATAATGCTTTTGTGATGATTATCACTGGGAGGCTGTATTCGATTGTGTTTAGGTCATAGCTTTTTCATTCTGAATGATGTAACTCCAACTTTCTCTTTGATACAGCATACTGTTCAGGACGCTGAACCATCAGTATGACTACATCTACGACTGGACAATGCTGAAGCAGAAGACCCACCAGGGTCAACCCAATCCAGCTATACTCTTGGAGCAATTGGACAAGGACAAGGAGAAGCAGAACGGCAAGCCCCTGATCGCGGACTAAAAGCTGGAGCGCTTGCAGGCGAATGGGGGGGAGCGCATCAAAAGAGGAGAACAGATTCGTGGATGTAAATGAGGATGATGTGGGCAAAAGGACCGGAGGAGCAGAGGAAATATGAAGCATGATGCAAACGCAACCGTACGATTGAGCAGCAGCAGCGGGCGTTTGGATGTTTCTTTATATTAATTTAAATTCAATACTAAACAAATAAGAACAACAGCAACAGCGCAGAAAAGTAAACAACACATTAATGATATCAAATGATACCCCAGCAGATGTGATTCACGAGTGAATCACTGCGATCGATAGTAACACAAACCGAAATTATTGCAAATCAATTCGATTCAAATCAATTCGCAATCCACACATACATACACACTCACACACACTCACCCACATTCGCCCACTTTCATACACCCACTCAAAAAGCAAACATCATTGCCCCAAAAAGGGGGATATAAGAGAAAAGGAAAGAAATCAACAACACTTAGCCTAATAAATTACAAGAAATAATATTGGTAATGTTGGAGGAACAAAATGAAGTAATGCTGAGAAAACTAAACCTATATATATGTATATGTATATATGTAAGCGAATAAACACAACACCATATATGTATGCATATAACCCATTTGATTCACGTCAAATTGAATCCACTGCTTAATTATGAATCGAGCGAAACAAAACTCAATAACTAATTCAAGAGGAATAAATAAGCAACAAAACAAACAAGAATAAACAATAAAAAAATTAATAAAACACACCGAGAAAAGCAACAAAAAAATATTGTGGAGGATGCGGAGGAGAAACAACCAAGCAAAGCCAACTGAGATGGGGAAAGCAGCAACAAGAGTAAAACAAGGAAATAATAATTATAATGAAGAAAGATCGAAAGAAGGAAAGAAGAAAACAGAAAACAGAAAAAAAACAAACAGATTGCAAAACTGCAAAGTAATTTTGCATAGTAAGCCGTAATAATAATAAATATAACTTATATTTAATTTTTTGAATTACATCAATAAATATGTTGAAATTAAATTTCGACTCGAAGCTGTTCACATCTGCATTAGACAGAGATGGGGCATACGAAAGGGAGAGAAGTGCAGTAAAATGTATTTATTGTTGTAATATACATACGTCATTGTTTACTAGCGATTATGTGTATTGGTTAAAAATCTTTTTTAAATTGTAGCATGTAATTAGTTTTTTTATTAAACTATATAAAATTTACATACAAATTGTATATTCAAGCGACACGTTTTATTTGAATTTCCCCCACATAATGCTTTGTATTTTGAAGTTGTATTAGTTTCGGCTAATTTTCACTTAGTTGAAATTAAAGATGCTTTTATATTGAAATTAATCACACATAATGCCTGTGCTTTTCACATCTTGCAGCTATGAAAACTAGAGCGTGACTTATGGTTTCATTGGTTTATTGCTTCTATTAATATATTGTTGTAGATTGATAGTTGCTAGGTAGTTGCATCGTTGATACCGAAAATTCTGGTGTTAATTCGTATTCAAATCAAGCTAATTTTTTTGAACAGATAAAACACAAAAAGTGTGAAAAGCGTAGAACCTCTGTGGAGAAAGTTTTTAATTTTTCAAATTACGCCTATATGTATAGGAATTGTTTTTTATCTGCGATACAGTGGTATAATAGCTCAACGTAAATCATCTTTCTCAAAATTATTTTCTATTGAAATTATTATTATTATTATTACTATTATTTACTTATTTACTATTATTTTCCTTGAAAAATAGATGGGTAATGATTTTTAACTCTCAGGTGGTCTTTGTTAAGATCCCAGATAAATTCAGTTGACGTCTTTTGCAACCCGCATGTGAAATACATTTATAAGACCCCTCCTAATTTCTTTGTTTATTCGTCATTGTTGACTAATGACACGTACGCGGTCTGCCTGTGAGTGAGAATCTGCTTTTTTATTATTTATGAACTTTATGGGATGTCCACTGCACCACTGACCCATTCCAATCAGCACCCCGTTTGCGAACAGAAGGCGCTGATTGGAACACCAATTGCAGTGCAATTGCTGATAAGCACAAGTTCTGATTGAATTCTAAGAGAGCAAAACTAGAAACGTTTTTACGAAGCGTAACATTTATCAATGTGCCTCTTAAGTTGAATAATAGGTTTTTAGACATTTATAATTTATAATTTTTCGTTTCAAAATTACCTTTTCAAGTGCAATTCTTAGAAACATCATTAATTTGCTGAAAAGCTGAGATGTGGAAAAGTACAAATGAAATTTAAAGTAACGCGCTTCTTTTATGAGGCTGCCACATAGTTTGATTACAGATGCCGTCGCCACCTGTGGAGGTAAAGTGGAAAGCTATATTTTCACAAATGGCAATAACTAGTAATAACTACATGCAGTTGCCTTCTTAAAAAAAAAACAAGTTATGCGCATCAATGTACTCAAAGGTAAAAGAAACGGTGGCAGCGCTGGCGATAACTTCTAAAATTCGAAACAAACTTGGTGGCACCGCTGCCAAGGCAGTTTGCTTCGGCAAATGACATTGGCGCAAGGACATCAAGATCCTGCATAAATAAGCCGCCATTATATGGGTGTTTAAAGCACTCTTTTACTTAGCTAGATAACAACTGTCCTTGGTTGGGTATCCGATTAAAGAGTACCCATTAAGAGAATCGAAGTGTTACGAAATTCAAACTCTCTCAGTAAATAGCGCCAAAAGAGAGGCCAAGTGATATGCCGCCAAAAAAAATATGGCCACACTGGCGAGCATTTATCGGCTAACCATCGCCTGGTCACACTGTCGGTCAACCGAACGGGAAAAAAACAGCGATTTGACATTTTTGTGCGAGTGTAAGTTTCGATTCCGATCTGGCTGGTTGTCTGACGGACGTGCTGCGTCTCTTTTGTTGTGTTTTTTTTTGCGAACGAGCGAAGTGCGACAGGACCTCTGCGCCCGTATACAAAGTAATTAGCGATTCGATAGCCAAATTCAAATAGTGTGTGCTTGTTTTCTCGTGTATTTTGTGGTGTTTTGTGCGATCCGTAGGTGGTTATCTTGCATATCCCTTTTCGTTGTTACGTTATATTTTTTTTTTGCAAGTGCCGGAATACAGTCGAATTGATCGCTGAACAGTATATAACAGTTAACTGTAAAGTAAAGCAAGAAATGATCCATTCCTTTTATTGTTTTTTTAAAGGTGTAAAGTAAAAGTAAATAGCAAAGGCGCAACGAGAATTTGTTCAAATAAGCAAACACTCGGATTCATTTTACATACACATGTGCGCATGTGTGCAGTCTTAAGGACCTCGTGAGCAAGAAGGAGCGGGGAAAGCAACAGGCAAAAATCACAAGCGACAGCAATTGCTGCCCTTTTTATTTGATTTTTGTGTTTTTTTTTTCTGTTGTTTTTAAGTTCGCTGTCGCAGCAATAATATAAGAATTACAAACACAGGCGCATGTGATATACGACCACCACTAGAGATCGCACACACACACACACACTTAGGCACACACGGAGGGCAAGAGAGATAGAGTGAAAGAAGGTTGTGCAGAAGGAGGAGGAGGAAAGGAAGGAAAGGGACGAAGCGCAAGCTTATCTCTCCGCTTTTCGAGAACGCGAACGAAGCAAACGATAAAAGCAAAGCAAACAACGCACACACGTAAATAAAACAGATCGGCTGTTTAAAAAATACCCACACATGCATATGTATATCAAAAAGGGACAAAGCAAAGCGACGAAGATCGGCCGCTGGTTGTTCATCTTCCATTTACACATGTGCCTGGAAAATATCCTGACGCACACCCACACACACTCGCACACGCATTCGAACGACAAGCACGTGTAATTTCTGCTCCCTCGCTCTTCGCCCTTCTCTCTTCTGCCCCCGTGCATCACTCACTACCATCATTCGTTGCTAATCAAACGCTCTCTTCCTTCACTCTTTTAGCTGATTTTTTTTATTGTTGCAATGCAATATTCGCGGAACGAATAACAACATATATAACTCAACATTCAAGTGCAAAGCAAATACAAATCAAACACAAACGAAACAAGCAACAAAATAAAGAAATATTGATAAAACAAAACGAAAAAATTCGCACATTTTTTCTGTCTTGTCCAGTGGAAAATACAACAAATAAAAAAAACAAATAAACAACGGCTACAACAAGTTCAAAATCTGTTCAAAACCGATCAACAAAATGTCTGCTGATATTCTGCAGAAATCAAGAGAGCAGGATGAATCGCATTATTTCGAGCGTGGCGATATATCCAAATACGTAGCGGTAAGTTTGCCACATTTTCCAATAACTACATTTTTCCCATGTTTTTAAATGTTTAGTCATTATTAGTTTTTATGCCTTGGGTTTCTTTTTTGCTTTTTTTTCAAAAGTCATTCTTTTTTTCTGCAATTCTGGTGAAGAAATTCTTGGTAAACTGTTAGTTTTCAAGATGCTTTACATATGTATGTTTTATACCCCAAATTTATGAATGAAATGTATTGAGAGTAACTTGACGAATTTAATAAATTAGGGTTTTTTTATGCAATTACATATGTACATACACATGTAGCTGTGCGCAAATTAATTCTTAGAAAATAACCCTTGGGATTTGGGTTTCCTAGAAATTTAGTATAACTCGAATTGCCGCCAATTCACAAACAAAAAAACTCAAGCACTTGGTAAGCAATATTTAAGAAGATCAATAGTGAGTGAAAAGAAAATCATAAATATTTTTGGATCGACAACTTAAAACATGCCTAAACCACATGGTTTTTTGGCTTATTCATTTCGGCACTTGCATTTTGCGCCGTTTTTGTATCGCATTGTTAAAGGCAGTATGTGCAACGTTTGCTTAATTTCGATAACTTGTTTTCCATTTTTCATTTTGTTATATTTCCGTTGTGTTACACTTGCATTTGTTGTTTGTTATTCCTTCATTATAAAAGCTGATTCATAATTATAATTTCGGCTTGTCAACTCACAAAAAACAGCAACAAAAAGACTGTGTGTGCGTGAGATAGAGAGAGCGAGTGAGAGGGGGGTGGCGGTGGTGGAGAATGAAAATAAGCGACAGGCTATAAAGTGGACTAAATAATTGTCTGATAAGGATTTGTGATAAGTGTATTGGAGAAGGGGGCGGGGCATCCTTGCATATCGCGCTCTCCCACTGCCGCTCTCTTTCGCTCTCTCTGTCTGTCTCCTTACGCCGTGCACCTTCTCTTTTTGTCCCTTCTCTTCCCATTTATTTGTTACAATTGGCGTCATCGCAGCAGCATCATTAAAAGCAACAACAACAATAATAATAACAACAAAAACAGCAGCAGCAATAACACCACTCGTGATCATTTACTGTTTGTATATACATGTGCACGTACGTATATATGTACATATGCATGTACGTATATATGTACATATGCATGTATATATATGTGATGCATGTGTGCGTGTTGCTGGCAGCGACGTCGGCAGCGCAGCTGCTGATCGACAACAAATTCGATTAACTCAAGTTCCGGGTTTGCTTTTGGCTGGATTTTTGTTTTTAGTGATTTCTTCTGTTGTATTATTTATACATAATATTTCTTTCATTTGTTTTTGCTTTATTGATTGCTCTCAAATGAGCTAATATTGTTATTTTTGTTGTATGTATGTTCAAGAGCTCTGCTGCAGCGATTACGTGCAAAGTTTTGCGGTTTTTCTTGTGATCGCGAGAGGGGCGACAAGTAAGAGTGAGACGGAGCAGTGTTAGGCTCACTTTTGTTTTGATTTTCTTGTTCTTGTGACTGCGCTTTTTTTCGCAAATTTGCGTAAACTAAAATGCAAATCCAAAGGGTCAAGTAGAGTAACGGAAAAAATAACAGTGTGCAAGGAGAAAAACAACAAACAATAAAAAAAGAATTAAAAATAGGGCCAAGGCAGGTTGACGTCCGATAAAGCTGCAAATGCATATTGAATGAACTTTGCAATCGATTACCGATAGGCAATCGGAGACTATTCGCATTGAAGATTGTTTCATATTTTCTGGCATTACACAGCATTTTATTTTGTTTTTGCTCTGCGACAGCCACGAAGGCAACAACATTTTGATGCAGAAAGCGAAAGGGCGCCGCAAACACACTCAAACAAACAAACAAACACAAACGAGTAGGAAATGCTGCAGCGCAACTTTTTATTAGGCAGCAAAATTGGTGCAACCCCTTTGCGCACCCAAACACAAATGTGAATTTTTAGTACATATTTTGGATAATAAAGGATATTTTGATCAGGCAATTCTATTTTTTAAACCAATTCGATTTGTATAACTATTGATTGTTTCGGCAAAATGTTAAAATATGGCACAAAAAGCAAAAGTGTCACAATCGTTGCTTTTCAATTTGTTTTTAAAAACATTTTTGTTTTGCCTTTTGTTACATTTACTGCGCCACTTCGTTCGGCTCGAATGTGGATTGCGGAGAGGGGAGCAGTGGAGCAATGGTGCCGGGAAGGGGTGGAAAGGGAGAATGGAGAATAGAGTGCCGAAAGTGAAGAGGAAGGGAGCGCCAACTTTGAAATTCACATTTTCGCATAACTTTTAATTTCTCGTTTTTCTTGGCTTCGTCTTGATTTTATTATGAAATTTATATGCATGTACATTGTATTACCATGTGAGCATTAAATGCAGTTTGCAGTGGAACCTCGCTAAGGAATATCACCTCTTAAGCTCTGTTGCTTGTATTTTAGCTAGAGTAATATTTTATTTTTTAGGGTTTACATTTTAAGCTGATACATCTGTTTAAATCAATTATAATTATCCTCCGATTTAGTCAAAAAATAACTGTGTAGCGTGAGTTCACTGTAGTGGGTCTCGCCTGTTTGCTTGGCTTGTGTTTAGTGTTTTTTTTTTGTTTTTGTTTTGCCTGCTTCTCCGTTTTCAGGCTAAAAAGTAAAATGTGTAAAATCTGCTTAGTTTGTTATATCGAAATTCCCGTACGTAATCAGCGGTATTGCGTTTCAGCAAACTCCCCCTCCTCCACTCTTTGCCCGTCTCTACTCCCCCTCCTCCCTTCACCCCCGCCCCGCTCTCTGCGCTACCCTCTCCTGCTGAGAAGAGGCTCACTTACACTTGCAGAGCGACAAACGGCGACTACTTTTTACGAATATAATTCCATTTCCTGCCAAGGCGATAACAACAACGTCGTCGTTTTATTTTGATCTGTGTGTTTTTTTCTCTTCTCCTCCTCCTCATCCTCCCTCTCCTTCTTCGTCTGCTTCTGCTTCTTCTTATGCAGTGTATGTGTTTGTCCCGACGCCATTGCTGCGCGAAGAAGAAGAAGTGGACTCAGTTAGTGGGGGAGGAGGCGGAGGAGAAGGAGTAGGAGTAGGAGTACAAGGAGGAGGAGGAGGAGGAGTAAAAGAGCGAGTGTAGCGACCACCACCGCTACCTACCTAAACAAAAAAGGCAACTCTTCAATCTTGAATCCTCACTCTCCTCCTTTTTTTCTCCCCCCACCTCTCCTCCAACTTCGTTAACCCTCAACTCCGCCGAACGTCATTTCATTTCATTTCGATCCGATCCGATCCAAACCGACTCGACTCGACTCGACTCGATTAATATGCAGCCCCATCCCTAAAGTCCAGGTCCAATACCGCATTTGCCCATATACCCATACCCATTCCCATTCCAAACGAACCGATTCGAAAACGCAGGCTCAAGTCCCCGAGCCGCTCGCTCCGTCTCTTTTACTCCCGCACCCACACTGGCGCACAATGCAAGCGCAGCGACAGTGTTGCCAGACACAATTTATATTGAAATTTGCTTGAAACATCTATAAGTTACGTATTTAAGAATTTTACAACGCCTTGAGAACGGACTGTGTATATTGTTCACTGTATTGATTTTTTGGCCCTTTACGCTTGCAATGTTTTCGAAAAGATTTCTAAACGTCTTCCGAAAATAGCTAAAAGTACACCTGCCAAGTGTTGGGACTCAGAACCGTTTCCTATGGAACTTGACTATGAGTTTCAAGTTTCAAGGCGTATATGTGTGTTTTCTAGAAAATGCACCTGCCATTGTGTAGAATTCTGGCAGTTTCCTATTGAATTTGGCTATAAAATGGCTGAAGTGAGCACATCAAATAAACTCACTACCCAACAGGCACTTAAACTCATGAAAACGCACATGAGGACATGGGGCCGGGGCAACAACAGCTACAACAACTATAGTAATAAGTACAACAACAACAAGAAAAACACATTGTCAGCATATTGACTGGCTGACCCTTGAGATACCCTGGGAGTGGGAGCGAGAGGGCAGATGGTGCCGGGCGAAGGCGAAGAAGGGGGGAGGGGATCCTCAGTTCGTCAAGAGTTTATCAGTCGATGGGGGTTGAAATTGAGGATCACAGCTACCGATTTTCCATCTAAGAAACGTACATATCGAAAACTATACCACGCATAACCGTTTTTCTTGCTTTTAAAGAAATGCTTGGTAAAATGTGATAGGGATGTGATATGCAATGTCATATGATTTAACTGAAACAAGTGGTTTCTTTAAGAATTTGTACAAGCGAAGGTCTCAAGATATATGATACATTACATTATAAAACACATACGCAACAATGTAATATTCGCTTAAATTGAACTGTTCGTTAATTGTTTGTTGCTGCCGCCTAGATGAAAATAAATTATAAATAAGTCATTTGCGTGCGAAGCTACTGGCTGCTTATTATTTTTATTATTTTTATTAATAATAGTGTTATTGTTGTTGCCCGGTTGTCCTCTTATCGTGCAGTTGTAAAAAATACAAATAAGAAAAACATGCACATCAAATAAATACGATACACATATACACATAGCTACATACATACGTATGCATGTGTATGTATTTACGCTCTCTTGCCTTTGTCGTCGCTTTGCTATCTCGCCCACACCAACGCATTTGACAGTATGCCCCCACTCCTCAGCGCTCTCGCTCTCGCTCTGGCCTGGCTTGGTGGGGAGAAGGAGAGAGAGAGAGAGAGCGAGAGAGGAAGAGGAAGAGGGAGGGAGAGCGAGTGAGCGAGCCAGGCAGGCGTGCGCAGTGGGGCCCATTTGTCGTTGGCCAGAAAGGGATGGAGCATAGAGGCGAAGACACTTCATATTCTATTGTCATTTGTTGTTGTCGCTGTTGTTGTAATCTTGAAATTGTCTTGGCTGTACTGTTGTTCTCATTGTTGTTGGTATTATTGCTAATGGCCGCTCAATTGAGTGCCAAAGTACATCTCGCCCCACCGTCGCTCCGCTGCCCTCCTCCCCCACGCCCCCATCTGTGGTTTGTTGTTTGCGCGCACAGGAAAAAAATTCGATTTGGATATTGAAATAACAAAAGTGTGCATATAAAGCCATTGGACAGAAGTGGGCTTTGAACTCGGACTTCTACATGTCAAGTGTCCATTACTTACAACTATGATTTAGTTATTCTTATTATTTATTAAATTTATAAATAATATGTTCTTATCAGTCAAACTGATTTTGCTCTCAGTGCCGCGAAAGGCCGGGTATTTTGCATTCAGAATCGATATGAAGTTTTAATTTTTTCCCGGATTCTGGGAATGTGTGGATAACATTCCACATTAACATTATCCATTATCCATGGCTTATTGTTATTCGTAGAACACGATATTCCCGCCTGTATCTCTCGGTTTTACAGTTCGCTTTGCTTAATAATTTCGTTAATATGTACATATTTTCATTATGCTGGCTGGCATTTGCTTTTCACGCTTTTCATGCGGGCCACCCTACAAAAAGTGTTGCGCTTGCAAACCTGGTTTTTTTCCCCATATATATATTTTGGTGTTTCAGCTTTTTGTTTTTCTGATTGCCAATCCAATCCACACAACGAAATCCACCGAAAAATCCAATCCAATCGAATCTATTATATAATAAAGTCGCGATCGAATGAGGACGCTGGCAGCGCAGTCGGCGTCAGCGTCGGCAGAGAGCCCCGTTTGTTTAGTAGATTTCCATTCACATTCACTGTCGCTTTTTGCCTTTTGTTTTTGCTTTTGCGTTTGCTTTTGCATTTGCTTTTTTCCCTTGTGTCTTTGCTTTCTGGGTTTTGTTTTGCGACTTTTGCCGATAGCGCTGCCTCTGTCTGGAGCGCGCACACACACACACACACACACATGCACTCTGCAACTGGTTTTGCAGGACCACTAAGATAACAAAAAACACATGTGAGTTTTTGTTTTTCCCTGTGTTCTAAGCAACCCCCGATATACATATACATATATATATTTTAATCACGATTTCGATCGGATTTTTGTTTTTGAGAGTTCCACAACCACGTGTTCAACACATTTTCAACATGTTGATCTCGGTCTCCGTCCCGCTCTTTCTGCACAGGGAAAAATATGAAGTTTCATATGGTTTTTTATATCTACCTATACATAGGAACTATGTACCTTTGCTAAATTCACAAAAGCATATAATTTTTTTGTATTAGCATAGTTCTTTTAACATTTATAATTATTTATATTTATTAAGCATCATAGACATCACTTTTTTTTCGCCGTGTATTTCTTATTGTTTGATTGCTTTCAGCATTTTCTGCTTGTTCTTTGTTTTGTTTGTGCGGGTTATCAAATAGCCGATAAATTATTGGCGCAGGAAAAAGGAATGAGAAAAGAGAGTTGGGGTACAAATAGAGAAGGGGAAGGTAAAAAAGAACCGAAAAAGAGGAGAATCAAAAGGGATCAATGCAACCTGCGGAAGAAGATCAAGAGGTAGAGTTAGAGAAATACATACTGATCTTTTGCTATATTTACCGCATTATCATCGCCTCCTATTTAAGGAGACTCCTATCACTTTATTTACTACTCATTTCCAAATGAATTTGACATTGTTTTAATAGACTACATAATACATAATGGCTATTCACATCATATTTAATGGTCGTACCATATTAATCAATATCGTCTCAAAGGCAAATATTAAACCATCTAGACCCCAAAAACTTCTATCACGTTTTCGTGCCTGCGAAGTTGTTGAAAATAAGAAACAAGTTTATTTATTGGTGTTTATTAAATTGTTTTTAATGCCGTCAATTCGATGATCCAAACAAATCTTCTAAATGGAATTCTACCGCAAATACTTAGTAGAGCTTATCAAATCATTATTTTCTGACGTTTCATTGTAACTTCTGGAAAATTCCAATTGCCTGCGAAATGAAATTTCTGATTTTCGAGCGATCGCCGGTGTTTCAAACTAGAAATAAAGGTGGATCTCTCTCGCTTTTCGTTTTATAGTTGTTTTTATTTGCTTGTTAGTTAAAGTGTTGTGTGCATATATCGTTGTTGTTTCTTAGTTAGGTTATTATTGCTCTCAGTAGTTTTTGTTGGTCTTGTGCTCGTATATATATCAGTTGTGCGCTTTGCTTATCGCTTTTGAGTAGCAACAAAAACAGCAGCCAGCGAAAGATTATTACTGTATGAACTAACTAACCCAATAATAAGTATTCTTATCACATTAAATCACATACACACATAGACACACACACACAAAGACAGATACATAGCTGCACTTTAAAACGCGCGTGTGTCAACAGAGAAAGAGCGTCGTTTCTTCTCAATCTATACCTAAAATGTGTGTTTTCCTTTCTTTTATTTTTTATGATTTACGTGCCTGGCCTGCACTTGGTTTAACTGAGAGAAAAGAGCACATACAAGTGTGCATAGGACAGATAGGAGTAGTTTGGGGGAGGAGGTTGGGGTTGAGGTTTCGGAGGAAGATTGGAAGGGGGTCACTGCCACTGCCATGTGCTCACGACACAAAGACGACGGCCATACATTTACCGGGCCAAGTGATAAGCACTGAAGACAATCGAGAGAGTGTAGAGAGCAGAGAATACAGAACATAAAAATAGCTAGGTTTACGTTTATCACAAGATGATATTCATACATAATTCCCTACTTAACGCCAAAAGTATTGGAGCACAGCCACACTGGCTGGGGATTGTGAAAAGCAGGCACACTAAAGGTCAGTGGCCAGAACATTCAGGAGATGTACAATCATTATACCCGTTACTCGTTTTAATTATCAATTCATTGCAAAGTCATAAAGTGTAAACTAATACATCATGATGATTACTTCTTTATTATAATAGCTATAACTGAGTAATTTTCCTCCGTTTTGAAACGTTAGCTATCAAAGTCATCATTGTTTGATTTGTTTATGTTCAGCTGATTTCGACATTTCCCTCCCTTATAAGTTTCCTGTCACCATCCATGACATGTTTTTTCGTAATTCGGGCTTTATATAGAAGCAGTAAAAAACACACAAATCAATTTCGAAATGTTTGCGGCTGACCGGTATGCACATACATACATATGTATGTACAGATGTACATACATTAAAGCTCAGCCCTTCTCTGCCCTCGAAACGGATCAGTTCGGCTTGAATCGGATCGTATTGTTTTGAGATCGAGTTTTAATCGAGTTCTCGGTCGGCGGCTAGGGATTTATTTTACGACATTTGTCCCCAAAGGAAAACACGCAGCGAAATGTGAATGATGGGGATTCGAAGTGGGACTGCTGGGAGTGTGGAGGAGGCATCTAAAGTCACTCCACAACCACAGTCCATCCACACACATGCACGCCAAAACAATCGGAGGGAACCCAACCGAAAACGAGACCCTCGATAAGGTTCGACACTCTGGACACCCCGTCGTCTGATAAGAAGACTCCCAGACTACCCTGTCGACTGGAAAAGGGGGGATACTAAAAAACAAAAAACTAAAGAGGTGGTGAAAGAGGATTGCAACTGGAGCAGAGGTTAAGGCAAGGGCAAAGGGGTCGCGATCGCGATGGGGATTGGCTTCGTTTTCGGTTTTGGATTGTAGATTTCCCAAACCGAGCCTATACAAATTCTAGAACAGCTAATAATGTGTAAGCACCATTTCTTCGTTGGTTATCTATGCAAGCAAGCAAACAATGTGCTTATCTTGAACTTTTCCAGAAAGTTTGAACTTCTGATTCAATAAAAACGTGTGGAACTTGAGCTTCTTCGTTTATTGACGGAACTTTGTGTTTCTAAGACTAGCTCCTGGAACTAGAAATATATTTTGCTTTAATGCGTATTGTGGACTTTCGTATTGCGTGAGAGCCAAAAAAAAAATACTAGGAAATATGTAATTCAATCCATCAAAATATGTAATTGGAGAGTTTGATCGTTAAAAAGAAATGCAGAAAGTGCATTTCTCGTTTCCGGTTGGATTGTTTGGCTATAAATCACTATCTGAGCAATTTTTTGCCCGAATCGAATGTCCGGAATCAAAAAAATTTACGAGCTTTGTGTTAGCTTATAATTATAATATAATATACCATATAAATATTGCATGGCTTATGCGGTCAAATATGGGGCTATTCATATTACAACATAGTGGGTAATATGAGCTAATTTCGTGTTTTAGGTTAAGATTACCTTGAAAATGATAGCTTCCACTTTTTCTTTCTACCATCTGATACATATCTACCATCTCTATCTCTATCTTCGTCTCTCTCCCACTTTGCTCCCATTCGAAACTCTCCATTTCGATTGCATAACGGTGGCTTTGTGCTCCCCAGCTCTCTCTCTCTCCCTCTCTCTATGTTACCCACTGCTGCTGTGCGCGCGAGAGTGTGTGTGTATGTGTGCAAAAGGTCTCCATCATGCATCTCCCTTTCTCCACTTTACCCCATCATTCCCCTTTACCCCTCTCTCTTCGCTTTTTGCATTTGTTTGACTGGTTTGCTTAAGCAAAACAAAAACGGCAATTGCAACATTTTATATGTATTTCCCTTCCTTTTCGCAAAAAAAAAGAGAGAGATATAAAGCAATATAAAAAAAAACACTGCGCAGACGCAACGCGTTGCGACAGAGGAAGAAGAAGACAATGATTATTATGTTTTATTTTATTTGATTTTATTTTTACGCACATCGATTAAAGACGGAACTCTCTTGGATACGAAATTCGATTTGTGAGTGGATTTGTTGGTTTCTGTTTATTCACTCTAGTGTTATTTCTGTGCCGGATTTTATAGTATCTGTACAGTGTGCTCCCTTTACAGTTGACCGAAAAGTCAATGTTATTTTACCAAGCTTGCAGTTTAATGTTTATACTCAACATAAAACTAATAAACATTTCGTTACCGCATGGTATTTGTGTAACATGACCAGTATTCACTGTACTTCTCTTGATTTTTTTCAAAGCTACATACATACACATGTTTTATGGTTGTTGTGCTCCGAATTTAGCAAGGCCAAGTCGTTGTGAAGTTTTCTTTTATTGTGTTTTATTATGTGATTTTCGTTGTTGCCAATTATTATTATGTGAGCCGGTTCGACCAACAAAAAAACAAAAAACAAAAAAAAAAACAAGGAAAGGAAACAGCAAAGCGTACAAGAAAGAAGCGAAAAGAAGAGATGAGAAGAGGAAGAGACAACGGCGGACGCTTGGCAATGAAACGAAACGAAACTGGCACGGCAGTTGCGCATGCGTCTTGTCTTCTTCTCCTCTCTGCGCTTCCCCCATCGTTTATCCGCCGCCCTCCCATTCCCCGCCCCTCCCTTCAAACACTCTCGCTATCTATGCCTCGTTATTTCGCTTACCAAATATTAACAAGCGACCAGCGAACGGATGGACAATGCAAACGCCACGAAAATGTGAAATGCTCCATTCGACGATTCGACCTAGACCTCAATCGATGGATTGGATGGCCCAAACCCAAACCCAAACTCGAAGCCCAAAAAGAAACCCAAACCGAAAACCAAACTCAAAACTGAGTAGTGAATACGGAAAACTGAAAACTAGAAACCGAATAATCACATTAACCAGTTGAAAAGCCTAAGGCAAAGGCAGTTAACTAATTTAAACAAATCATAAGCCTTTGACAATATTATGTAAACTCATTTACATATTTCTTTCTTCCTCCTAATCGAACGAACAAAAAGCGCCAGTTAGGTTACGAATTTATCCATATCGCAGCTGTAGCATTTGATTAAGTGTTAGAACTTTTGGCACCATCGCATTGCCATTTTTTCCAGGAACTTGTAGTTTGTTTATTTCAAGCTAAACATTTATTTTAGTTACCTTGTTGTGCTAACATTTCAAGTAGTTTTTGCACAAGATGTGCCCGGTGGTCTAATACACGTTGTTTAATGAAACTAAAAAAGATTTAGACGACATTCTGCATCTCAAGATAGCGCCAAAAATAGAATTTTGCAAAAATTATAGACAATGTTTGTTGCCGTATAATAGTCATAACGTTTTAAATAGATATAATATGCATTTGTGTTTACTATATAAACTATATTATACTATTTACATTTGTTCGAAATGCGGGAGGTTTTCGCTCAGTGCAGCAAGCTGCTTTCTTGCCTTGCTTATCAGTTGCAGATCGTGTTTGAAAGGGGTTCTGGAAAAAAAATAAAATCAAAGTGCAATGGGGTCTGTTCTAGATTGTTTTGTTGTGTGCTTGCGGCCCATCAATCGATCAAAAGTGATCACTGATCAGCCGTCGAGAATGGAAAGGGGGAAATGCAGTCCAATGCAATGCAATGCAAAATGCAATGGAAATCGAAATGGAAATGGAGATGGAAATCGACATCGAATTGGAATGGGAATGAAAATGAAAAGCAATGAAAAACTCGCATGACAGCCGCATGTGTTAATTACCAATTCAAATTTGCCAACAACAATTAAACCCGATGCGATACGATTGCTTTTGTTTTCTGCTTAACAAAATCAACAAAAACAAATAAAATATAAAATACAAATAACAAAAAATAGAGGGCCTATAATTTTTGTTTTATGTTTTACATTTTCGTTTAATTTGATCGGCGTCTGGCTGCTAATCAAATTTCGTTGGATAGAAATCTCGCACTTTGCATAGAAAATTTGAAGCTTACCTTGAACTTTAATTGAACCGCAAAGACTACGGTCTGTGTAAATATGGAAATCAGATAGGTACATACATACATATATCGCATCTCAGATCTCGGATCTTTATCTGTGGGCATCGATCGATCCTACAGCTACATATATACATATACCCATCCCTCTAACTAAATGGAAATAACTTGATTTAATTGCTAATGTTATTCCCCCGGGCGATTAATAGATGCGAGTTATACCTGTACAATGGCGGGCAAAATAATAGTGTTGGCGGTTTCTAGGTTCTTCATATAAATGTCAGGTAATTTTCGCCGTGGAATACAGATACCGATTAGTGCAATTAAACTCATATTTGCTGATCCGCCGCTGTATTCAGATACATAATATATAGTAGCGCCACGCCCCCTAGCCTCTTTCCATCTCTTTTTAGCCGTTCGTGCAGGTTGGTCGGGTATTATAAATAACACTCAATAATAACTTTGTATTCATTTCCAATTCGCATATATGAACAGAATAAAGATTGTCTGGGTGTGAGTTTGGATTTTATTTTCGTTAATTTTATTTTTACCATTGTATTGGTGTTAGCTCATCGAGGTTATGGATATTGCGTCGTCGTCATCGCGACGTTGTTGTCGCTTTGTATTGGTACGGCTTTATAAACCAGTTAGTTCAACCGAAAAAAATTAAACACAAAAAAAAAAAACCAACAACAGCAGGTCTTCAGCATCTCGCACACACACACACACACACACTCAACAAGTCGGGTGTATCTGTGTGAACGTGTTTATGAGACACAAACAAGTAAGCAGCAACAACAATCGCCGATCTTACCTAACAGCCCCGTGAGCCAAGACCTGAAACAACACACACTCGATAAGCTATATACACATCTGCATAACTATATAGTAGTGGTTTCATATGTAAGCCGTGAGTTGTTCCAAAAGTAATGCCAAATCTCCCAAGAACCGATTACCATTGCGGATCTTAAGTATCATGGAATGGTTTCGATAGCAAATCTTGCCATCAAAAGTACATATATACATTTATATAGTTTGTGGAAATTAAATGTTAGGCAATCTGAACGAGCTTAAACAAAAACAGGTAATAAGACGTTTATTACAGCACCTCTGCACAGTATGTAATGCTTACAGGCATTTAAAGTGAATTGTAAAAGCTGCCAGTTGGCAGAGAAAGATACAAAGGCTATTGAAACATTGCTCTTGGAAGCTGAAAAGTAAAGGGAAAAACTCAAATCGAATATGAATCAACTAAACTAACAGCATTCAAAATGTTACCAAGTACTTTGACTTAACAGCTCCTTAAATAGTGCTTAAAGGTAGCCCCTTGGCCTTAATTAGGCGATCAAAGTGCAACTATGCAACAACTTGCTTCTAAACCGAGCCAGGAATTTCAAAAATAGGAAATATTTTGAACAAAAAAAGAGGTCTATTGCCAGTAACTCCTGCTACTTGACTAGCCAAATATCTTGAATTCCCCATTCGGCCCTACCCCTTAGCACCCACTCACTCACTCTCTGTTTCCGTCTCTGTCTAGTCTTCTGTTTTTTTTGTTTTTTTTCTTAACCCACCGCAACAATGAAACGGAAAACAGAAAAACCAGGCGACCAAAACACAAGTGGCAACACAACAGTGGGAAGAAAGCGAGGGGACTGAAGAGAGTCTTCTATCAGCAAGTAGAAAAACCCAAGAAGAGGTAGAAAAATAAGCCAAAGCATGACTGAAAGAAAAGTAAACTTATTTTCATTTTCAAATGAAAGGGAAATTCTCGACTAGACGAAAGAAAAGAGACGGAGACGGAGAGCGAGAGCAAGAGATTCAGAGCCACTAGTAGAGAGAGACGGCAGATGGGCGATAGAAAGAGAGCGTAGCTTAATGCATAACACGAGGAAAACAGGAAAAAAGAGATGGAAAAAAGAGTTTTGAAAAGGACCCCAGACTTTGCCTCTTAACCCCTCTGTCTTCTGGCCAAATGGGTCTTAATCTTGTTTTTACACAAACGCACCGAAGAAACGCCGCACGACGGCGTGAAGTGAGGTAGATTGTCTTAAAGTTGTTTTTCGAACTCGAACACGTTTAAAAGGAAAGAAAAAGACGTCTTTCCTTGCCGTTTACCCCTTGGCCGTGCCATTTTATCACCCATTACTCACTCACCCCACAAATCGAGTTTATGCGATCCGCTCTTTGTGAAATCAGTTCACGAATCGGAGTCATAACTTGACCATGAATTCAACCCGACGTCGTTGTCCCCAAAACAGCTGTGCAAAATTAAACAAAACTAATTGACACACAAATAGTCGTAAAAAAGCGTCGTGTTTGAAGGTTATCTTTGGGTTTTTCGTTGCGGAAGTGCGATTTCTTCAGCGATACCGATTTTCACTTTTAAACGAAGTGTTCAAGTTGCTAACCCAGCAAATTTGGGTTACGATCCAGTTTTCACTTTCGATTGCTAACCTTCTTTTTTATTTATTATTATTGTATTTTAGTTTTACAGATATCGTTTAACTCTGCAGCCATACTTTCTCTGAAGTTTTGTTCAAGCTCAACAGAATGTACCATTAATTATAGGCAGGTTAAATATAATCACCCAAATCAAAATAATGTTTATACTGCCTCTCTAACAACTATATTATATTGTCCTAATGAGTTGATTATCCATCAGATGATCATGCAAACAATAAGTCAAGTGAGGGCTTACTATTTAATTATGAAATCATCAGATGAAGACATGTACTCTTTGTGCCTTTGCACATGTAATACTTTTCAAGGGTGGCCTCGGCTGGATTTTTACGGGGCTTCCAAATGAAGAAATCGTAAATTACCAGGCATAAACTTGGATCTTATTTATGGTACCTGGTGCAAGCCGAAGGCAGAAAGCAAAATCAAAAGCTTGAGCAGGAGGCAGCAACCGTATCCGCAGTCGCAAAGATGCCGTAAGCGTTCAAGTTGGTCAAAAAGAAAAAAAAAAAATATATATATATAAAAAAGAAACAGCGCCAAAGGTTTGCTAAACTTGTTGCGCTTGCTCGTTAATGTTTATGTATTTTTTTCCTTTTATTTTTTGCTGCTGTCTGCGCAGAGTTACAGACTGAAATTGAAACTGAAACTGGGAAACTGAGAAACAGGGTTGCCAGGTGCTCGTCAATGTCAGCTGACTAATTAACAAAACAATGCAGGAAGTTCGGTTTCATTTTTTATAACGCGAGGAAATCCCAAAGATGAATAAGCAAGGCAGCTTTTTATATACATACATATATGCATGCATTCATATGTACATGATTCAAAGAAATTTCATTTATGTACAATAAACTGATACCATTCTTTCCTTAAATCGCTTTTAATACAGAACTTTCAAAGCATACTTAATGTGTGGTGCAAATCAAATATTAAATGGATTGACGTCAAACCGATATTTGGTACAAGTTTGGTCATTTTTATACCAAACCTTGCAACCAAGTAGAAAAGTGGTACTCACCCTTCAATGCCAATGCCAATGGTGAAATAAAAGTGAAGCACAAACCAAGAGAACACGATGCCAAACGGGCCGAATGATAAGATAAGCGATCGACGACAAAAACATTGTGTATATGGCGGCTTCTAAACTGATTGGCCAGGCAAATTAATTAATTGAACATTTAAATTGTTTTGTTTCGTTTCGTTTGGCCCGTTCGGCCTGTTTGGGAATGAAATGGAATTTACTCATGAAATTTCATGGAATGTGTACTGTTGAAATCGTAGCAAAGATAACCCAAATGAAGTGCATGCATATGTATATGAATATTTATTTGTTATGTGCCTCATCTGATGTCTGACTGGCCTGGCCTGGCCTGGCCTGGCTGTCTTTTTATATGTCTTGAAGGCCCCTAGCCCCATTCGCATCCCAATCTCCCGAGATAACGAGACTCTAAGTGGGCTATATCGTTCTGTAATCGCATGTGGGGCTCTATATTTATACAGTTGAGCATAGGCGCACATCTAAATCCTGCGACTGACTTGACTTTGGGGCAGTAAAGTTTATATGAAGTTTACCCTAATGGTAAAAATAATCCTTAACTTCTTCACTGTGCTTAAATATAAAAATTCTTGATGGCTGTTGTAATTCTATGCTAAGCTTTAAGGTAATTAGTTTCGATTTTGAGTTAAATAGCTTGGAAAGTGTGTCGTTTTGCTATTGATTCATATTTCTCATAGTGCGCCTAATCTCCTATTGAATTCAAATAAATTGGACACCCTGGCAACCCTGTTTTCGGTCGGTGCGCATGCGCCACCGCCTCGTGCTGTCCCTCTTGCTCTCGCTGGCATTGCCACACACCCTCAATATCTCCTTTTCTTTCGCACTTGTTGAGCAAGTCAACCAGTTTTTCGTCTGCAAATTGAGTTGGGTTTTTTCTCATTTTTTGTTATTTCTTTTTTTTTTTTTAACATTTTGAACAGGGGAGCTTACGAATGGGGGAATGGGGCTTGCTGAGGCGGTTGATTACTGGTTGGTTGTGTTGGGGCCCCAAAAATCTTGTTGTTGTTGTCTTTTTGTGGTAGCTCCGGCTTTTGAGCTTCGCTTTTTCTGAGCCTCAGCTTTTCTGCCTTTCGTGTTGTTGGCTTGAACTTGAGCTCTATACATATGTAATTGGTTGGTTGGTAGTGATTGCTGCTGCTGCTGTTGTTGCTGTTGCTGCTAGTTTTGGCCACGCTTGATGGAGTGGGCTAAGTGCCCAAGTCTGTGTATCATCGGAGTGTCTCTGCGTCTATGTGTGTGTCTGTTAACTGGTTGCATAACATGTTACAGCATCGCACGAAAATGAACAGGCCAAGTCGGACGTTGCGTTCCCAAAAAAAAAAAAAAAAAAAAAAACCGAAACCGATGACGACATGAAGCCAGGGGGCGGGATGGGGGATGGGGGGCTGTATTGAAAGAGTGGTAGCAAAGTGGTAGGAAAAAGGGGCAAAGAGTGGCTAAAAAGTAAAGGCCAGAAGGGAAAAAAGAGAGGTAGCTGGTTTTCTTGGCTTTGGTGTTTAATGTCTGGAAAATTATAACATTTTTGTATGCCTTTTGCAATATTTCTCAGTCGCCTAGCTCTTTTTCCTTAGCTTGCGTGTGTTTGTGTGTTGGGTTTTTTCTGTTTTTGCTTATAGGTCAAGTTAAAAGTAAAAGTGAGCTTTAACTTTGTGCTGCTTTTGCTTTTGTTTTCTTTTTATTTCGACGTCTTGCGCTTCGTTTTACGTCCTCTTTTTTTTTTATTATAGTTTTTTTTGTTTTGTATTTTGCGAAATATATGCTCGTTACGTATAAGCCGAAGAGACGCACAGAAATTGATGTTTGGCTTTTTGCATTCGCAGATGAACGATCACTTGGGTGATTTGGATCGCATACAACGCGAGGTGCGTAAGGAAATAAGGATGCTCCTCGTGCACGGCGTCAACTCGGAGCAGCAGCACCAGCAGCAACAGCAGCAGCCACATCGCCTCCATGGCGCCCTCACACGCACCATTTCACAGCCGGCCCAGCTCATCCAGCAGCAGCAGCAGCAGCAACAGCAGCAACAGCAGCAGCAGCCACCTGTTGCCAGTCTGGTGACCATCACCGAGAACCTGGGCAACATGAACCTGCACCGTAAGCTGGAGCGCACCCAGTCGGAGCCACTGCCGCCACAGCAGCCGATGAACACGTCCAGGTGAGTTGCGGAGGAACACGCCGAAGTCAGAAGCCAAAGGGTTAAGGAATGCCAGCCGTGTATGGAGAAGTTCTATCTATCAACACAATTAGCATGCAAATAATCAGCTTGCAGTGTTTTAGTTTGAAAGGATTGTTTCTTCCAGAAATATTAAAACTTGTCCAATGAACTTTGAAACCTTTAAACCACATATTTAATTTATTAAAGTAAAGTGCATCTCAATTTCCTAATCATTCTTTAACCTAACTTAAAGCTCTTAGTTCACGTAAATTGAATTTAATTAGCAGTTTGGCAGCACTTTTATCGACAATGGCATTCGCACAAGAACTCTGAAGCTAAAGCTGAATTTTAGTCCAAGAACTCCGAGTAATTGCGATCTTCGAACCCTTTCAGATACAAGACCGAGCTGTGCCGTCCGTTCGAGGAGGCCGGAGAATGCAAGTACGGCGAGAAGTGCCAGTTCGCCCATGGAAGCCACGAGCTGCGCAACGTGCACCGTCACCCCAAGTACAAGACGGAGTACTGCCGCACCTTCCACAGCGTGGGCTTCTGTCCCTACGGACCGCGCTGCCACTTTGTCCACAATGCGGACGAGGCCCGCGCCCAACAGGCAGCCCAACAGGCGGCCCAGCAGGCGGCGGCCCAGGCATCCAAGTCCTCCCCCCAGTCGCAGTCGCAGTCGCAGTCCCAGGCGCAGCAGTCGTCGTCGCAGAACTTCTCGCCGAAGAGCAACCAGAGCAGCAACCAGAGTAGCAACAGTAGCGTCAGCAGCACCGGCGGCGGTGGCGGTGGCAGCGGCAGCAACAACAACAACAACAGTAGCCAGTTCTATTTGCCGCTGAGCCCACCGCTGAGCATGAGCACAGGATCGGACCGGGAATCGCCCACCGGATCACTGTCCCTCAGCCCAACCAATTCGCTGACCAGCTTCCCGTTCCACGATGCCCTGCCGCTGCAGCACGGCTACTTGGCCTCGAATGGCGCCACCAGCAACAGTTCCGCCTCGTCCACATCCTCGGCCTCTGGACTGGGCCTGGGCATGAGCATGGGCATGGGCATGGGCCAGGGCGGCATGATCATCGGCCAGGGCTTGGGAATGGGTCATCACGGACCGGCCACACCGCCGGAGAGCCCCAATGTGCCCATTTCGCCCGTGCACACACCGCCGCCGTACGATGTGGTGGTCAGTGGCTCTGGAGTGGGCAACAATACCGTCGGCAGCAAGCAGCTGCTGCAGAAGAGCGTCAGCACACCGATGCAGCAGGAGGATACGCCCAGGCTGCCGGTATTCAACCGTCTCAGCTCCGGCGTGGAGGCCTACCAGCAGCAGTCCAACTTGGGACTCTAAGGCGAGGCGGTCCGCAAGACAAAAATGAATTGAAACACCATCCAGCATCCAGCATCCAGCATCCTCCTACTCACGCCCATCAAAGCATCCATCCATCCATCAACAAACAGCATCCTTGACAAAATCTCAGTAACGACCACACCATGGAAACTACTCTCACAGTGCAATCCAAACCCAACTTCCCCAAGGCAACTGGATTTCCGGGGCGCATTTTCGATGCAGAACATGCGTGCATCAAGTATACGCCACCGAAAAAGCTGGCCACTGCCACACAGACATCCCCATACCCTTAATATGAACCGATCTTTGATATCAATTCTCTCATTGCTGTGACAGTCAAACGTAATCGTTATAATCGTTATATGAGAAGGACCGAATTACAGACAATTACGGGACAATTAGGTAGATAGATACGTAAATGACAAACAAACAATCCAAGCAAACGATGATCTTAAACTATAACTAAATACTAAAAACTAACAAAAACAAAACAAAACAAAACAAAAAAATAACAAAGCTAGCAAGAAAGCTAAAGCTAAACACAACATTCTTATGAACTGGACAAGATGAAGAGACGGAGATGACGAAAAGGACTATTTGGGAATCTTCAGCGAATGTTGCTCAAATCAAATCAAATGAAAACCCACGGCCAACGACGAATGTGAAAATCGTTCCTGCATTTATAGAAACTACTGCAGTGCACCCATTAGAACCCACGCACACCTGTCGCTTTTGTTCAATACTTATACGCCACGCACTTTGGATAAGTCTAATGTAAAAATTGATTACCGGCTTGTATACATATATACATATATGGCCAGCACCTGTGTATATATAACTTTTGATGTGGATAAATAGAGAGTTGGTCCGATGTCTTCCAATCCAAGCCAAGCCAATTAATCAATCAATCCATTCAAATGAGAGTGATAGACGGACAGAAACAATGCTAAAAAAATTCTTTAATTTATTATTTTTGCTAAATTTATGTAATAGAAAACGTTGTGTACATACGAGAGTTATTATTTTGATAAAGATAATAAATTATAATTACCAATTACCTTACGTTTACAATTAAATGATGATCTTGGATGATATGAATATTATTGATGATATACCTCTGCAAATCGTGCAACTAATCACAACAGCAAACAAACAAACATACAAACAACCAACCAACAACAACAACAACAACAACAACCAACGAGCAACCAACAATTTTTCATTTTGAGAGGACATTTTTAATGGAATTTTGTCATTGATTTGATATATATAATTTTTTGTCTGAATGACTACGATTCTTTGTACTATTTAAATCGATCTATGAAATGGAAATGCTGATTTTTAAACACCATAATTTATTTTCACATCTATTTACATAAAACATACCAGATATATTTTATATGCAATTAATGTTAATAATTTATGAAAACAACACATGCGACACACTCAGACACACACACATATTTTGACCATTGATAATTTTATGTTTTTTATATGGTATATGCGACAGATCATTTTGTTTATTATATATTATTTTTATTTAATTTATTTTACAACTTTTTCTTGATTTCTTCTATTTTTGGGTGCAGTTATATAATTTTAGTGTTATGAGAGACCCTTAATTTATATACAACTTATATAAAACCATATTATAATTATGCTTACGTCGATGATAATGAAGTACATGCATATGTAATAAAAACGGAAAAAAACAAAGAAAAACTTTAACAAAAAAAAACTATTTAAAATATTTATGTAGGGAAAACCATCCGAATGTCGAGAATTGAATGTGTCGGAAAAATTGAAAGAAAAAACGATTTTTTAAAGGCCGGAAAGCGAAAAAAAAAAACGAAGAGCAAACTGAGTACAGTGTTAGAAATTTAAATCCAACTAAACAGAGCAAACAAAATATAAACTTAATAGAAATATTTAAATTATTTTTGTACACATTTTTTGCCCTATTCAAATTTATATGTATAAATATGTAAACTGTAACCTGTATACAGCGACTTTTTTTTTGTGAAAATAATTTATATCAAGAAAATTGCTGAACTGCAATTCAAATCAAACTAAATCAAATATTTAATTACTCCTATTTATTATTACCTCTTTCACTCGGCATATTATAGTTACAAAGCGACCAACAGCAGCGAAAATTTTAAGCATGACTTAAAATCGAAAAAAGACGCCAAGGAAAGAGGTAATTCCACGCGTGTTTATCAATTTGTGTGCACCACGCACGAGGGGGGGTAAATAATTCTCAAAGTGCCTTATCGTTAATATTATGTATAAATTAAATACACACAAACACAAATTATGTATAGTCTTGTGGAAATGGAAAAGGAAACGCAGAGACAGAGTGCGAAAGGCATATTAATTATTTATTATTATATTAAAGTCTATTTTATTATATTTTCGGTTTACTTTGATTTTACTTTCAATCCCAAAAACAATTGTTTTCGTATTCCGATAAGCATTGGAATCGGAATTGATCAGAATGGAAAGTTACGGCAGCGTGCAAAGGTTTACTATAATACCTATATTTAATATACTTATATATTATACTGTTTTTTTGCTCTATTTAATTTTTAAAAACCCTAACTTAGACCTGAGCTTTGGTTATCATCATGATGATTATTCTAATTTCTTTTAACGCGTTCTTCCCTTTGTACAACAAACAAAGAAAAACAAAAGAAAATTAAACTAAATTAAAAACTAAAACCGTGACCCCCATGAAGCAAGTGTGGCCTCATCGGAATGAAGCACTTATGAATTATCACTTATCCAAGTCGTCTTCCTTCTAAGAAAACTAATGAGTAAACTAAACCATTATGTGGTACTCTTGAATGATCGATAATCAAAGAAGAACAAGAAATGTAATGCCAGTTGAATTATTCATTATTTATAAATATATTTTGTTCGTTATTTATATAACCATATACCATAATTTTTTCATTGATATCCGCCTTGTCAACAACAAATCCAAAATCAAAACAAAAGTTATACAAAACAAAAAAAAAAAAAGCGAAATAAAAAAAAAACAACGAAAAAGACAAAACAACTAAGAAATGACCACAATCTGTACATGAATTTTGTTAATGCTGAAACATGCCTATTTATGCTTCCATTGCAACACTTTTGTGCGTATTTTTATATAGTAAATTAAAATGAATACAATTAGTTTATGGAAAATTTTAAGTTAAATAGCTTTAAACAACAAGCGTTACAAAATAAATGAAAATAAATAAAAACTGGCCCTCGTTCTCATTTCAATTATAGCAAGCTCTACCGATAACAGGGGTTATCACTAATCTCACTCTTATCCGCAGCGTTGGCGTGACGTTGGCTCGCCTCCATTTTTGGGACTTGGCTTTTCTGGTCACGCTTTCTTGTTTGGCTACTTCGGGCTTCTGTGGCGCTACTTTAGCACTCTGTGTTGCGCGATAAAACCCTGATTTGCTATCTGACTTAGAAAATTTGGATGCCTGGCTTCTGGTTGTTTCAAGTTTAACGAGACATGGTGGATTACCAGTACTCAACGTGGTATGGCATTCCATATATGGATAATTATTTCCGTTGGTGTTCCATTTCCAAAAAAAACCCTACTTTGTTTTAACAAAAAATGTGAAAAACGAGCTTTGCGAAATATTCGAATTATTCGAGGGGTTTTATCACCATACCTAGCCTTAAAATAGCTATCATAGCTATTCCTGTTTCGATTATTTTTTGGTCCAATTTTCGCATTTTTTAAAAGGGATAACATCATCAAAATAAAAATTTGCTACAAAAAAGGGCAAACTAATTTTTCAATCTTGGAATACAGTTTAATGGGGAATTGAAATTCCATATTCCGTATATATTCCATACATTCCATAGTATTATGGATTTTTTATTTATTTTTATTATTTTGAATTATTTTCCTTTAAATGATGGTACAAAAAATGTATTATCTCATGGCGGAAATTCGTAAAAACGGCCTTTTGGCAAAAATCTCAAATATTTCGATGGGCATTTTTCTCAAAATTGGCTACTACTGTTTTGAACAGCTAATTTGCAATGCTAACGATCAGTTGGTAGTTGGTTTTCCGTAGGCACCTGCCTCTGATTATGTTCGCCTGGTAACAAAAATCAATATACAATATACACAGTTGAAAGCCAGGGGAACAGGAATTCCTGAAGGAAGAAGGAAACGATTTCACAGAAAGTCCAGATGATCTGAAAGCAAGAAGCCGTGAAACATGTATCCCATGAATACGCAGATAAAAAACAAGAACATTTTGTTATACATTTCTTTTGTTTTATTTTTTTGTATTTGTTTTTATTTTGCTTTGTTTGCTTTTTAATATGTTGTATTTAATTTTATATTATTATTTTTAAGCTTACAACTTAAGGCATAAAGTTACAACTAAAACTTAAGTGCTAAACATCATTATCATGTATCGATCATAATCAGCTCTACCTCTGCGCACGCGACTCGGCGCACATAATATGCTTATGCATATGCATATACTCCACATAATATTGTTGTTTACTATCTTTTCGCTGCTCCCCGTGTTATATGCATCCATAATTTGTGTTTATTGTTATCAATATGCGCTCAAAAACCGCCTTTACTTGTAATTTCTGTTTGTTTGTTTGTTTGTTTTCATTTTTTTGTGTTTTTGCGTTTTCCATACAACTATATCGATTTTAAATTGATACAACAGAACACCAAAAACAAAACGGGAGACTCAAAACAATAAAGTTCCTTCAATATAGCGAATTTGAGTTCGTTTTTATTATGTGATTTGATTTGCTTAAATCATTTTCAGGGCACGCCTTGTGCATACACATTGTTTTGTTTTACATCCATTCAGCTGGCGTGCTCTTTGTAATTCGCCCAGCTATAAAATTCGGTTATTCATACATTATTCATTTATATATATATATATATATTCATTTATATGTGTGTAGAAAGTGCTCACAATCGAGGATCGCCAGCGGCGATCGGAGTGCCAGCGACGCCAGCTGTTCGTTGTCAACTCCTCGAGTTGGGTCATGGGTCCGTCCGCGAATCTGTCCGCGAATCTGTCCGCGAATCTGTCCGCGAATCCGTCCGCGTGTCCGTTCGTCCGGTCCGGCCGCTATCGCCCCACCCGATCCTCCGCTCGAACCTCTGGCGCTGTTTATGATGTATTCCATTAGTTGTTATGCTGCCGCTTTACATACATTTATTATCATATATATATATATATTCATATCATATATATATATATACATACATATATATATTGTAAAATTTTCTGTATATATAGAATTTGTTTCCATTTAATTTATATATATATATATTTATAAAAAAAAATACGCTTCCTGCTCTTAACTAAAACGTTGCTGCGCGCCGCTCGGCCAGAGTTGCGTTTGGGTTTCCCATTTCCGTTTCCGCGCTGTTTCGGATTTGGGCTGCGAATATCTGTGTTAGCTTTTACATGTATTTATATATATATTCATATATATATCTTTTAATATTTTACAATTTTTTGTTTTGTTGAATAAGTCTTAGCGTTTGTTGTTTACTTCATATATATTTACTATATAGATTTTGTTTCGTTTTTAGTTTCATTATGTATTAAAAATATTAATTTTTTTGTTTTCACGTTTTTCAATTGGTTTCCCCACGTTTGTTTCGCGTTTGCGTGTAAAAAAATAAGTTTAAAAAAACGAATTAAACAGTAAAGTAGTTAAACACTAAAACTGTTTCGTATGACATAAGTGTTATATAAAAAAATATGCGTATGTATATCCCATATATATTTCTATGTATTGGGCTTACTGTAAATTGTACTTACATTAAAACTTTCATTAGCTTAGCAATTAAACGTACATAATTCAATAGCGATTGCTTAAGAGGAGTAATAAAACACAATCATGCTCCATAAATTAGGCCTTGCATATAAAATAGCAAAAAAAAAAAAAAAAACGAATAATAGTAATAGTAAATGTATTGATAAGATTGATTAACTTATGCGCAGTTTTATGAAATTTACAAAAAGTCGTTTAAATAATGATTAAAGTGTTCTATAGGTAATTTATATATATTAATTGTTTCTCGATTACTTGTTTTCTCTTGCTTAGGTTTTTGTTTTATTTTGTTTTTTTTTTCTAAGAACAGCCCAACAGTGTGTTTTTATTTATTTTGTTTACTCCTTATGCTCATAGTGTATTGTATATATATATGTGTGTGTGTGGTGTGATCTTTAGTTTTATATATGCATCTAACTTGTTCTCACTACCATTCTCATATCCTTCTGACCCGGGTTTCTGAGGCTGGAGCTGTGCGAGGAGCAGAAGGACACATCGACCGATGACATAAAGACGAGGACAGGAACACACGCGTTTACGCAAGTACGGACATGCACATACAGGACACGACGATATAGGGGACACGACATAAAGGACTGAGTTGCCTCCAGGTTGGAGGCATGCGAAACAGTTGGTTGCACAGAACTCGCTTTCTTAGATTTAGTATTTCGATTTTTTATATACAATTACAAATGATCTGCTTTAGATTACTTTCAAATTGAAATTTTTGAATCACGTTTTAAAAAGTCTCTCAGGATGCGCAAATTTACAATCCATTTTGTTAAATATTAGTTTGCAACAAGTCTGCAGCGACACAGTTGTTTATTTGCACTTTTAAATTGCCTAAATTATTTGCATGGGACACAACTATATATGAATGTTGTCCAGTCTGTCTGCCCTCCACTTGCCTCCTCTCAGCAGCTCCGCATCTCAGCAAATCTGCACATCTGCATCCTGATGATCTCTCAATTTCCCGCCTACTATTTGCCTGCTCCTAATTTAATTCTTCTTTTTGTTAAAGCCTTTTTCTTATCTCTTATTTTTACACATGTCGTTTGCCTAGCTCACACATCTCATCCCACAACTCGTGGTGTTTCATATGGGGCTACATATGCTGCTGCTGCTGTTGCTGCTGTTGCTGCTGCTGTTGCTGCTGCTGCTGCTGCTGCTGCTGTCAGTAGTAGCCCGGCGGATTGCCGCCGGCGGAGCCGCCTCCGCTGCCTCCCGGATAATGCTCGCCGGCGTAGTAGAGGCTCCTCTGCTGCTGGTGCTGCTGCTGGTGGAGTTGCTGCTGCTGCTGCTGCTGGGACTGCAATGGAGGCGGCAGCACCGTGGTCTGGTAGAGCTGCTGCTGGCGGTGCGGCGACTGCTGCTGCTGCTGCTGCTGGACAAGATGGGGATGCGGATGCGGTGGCTGCTGTTGCTGCTGGTGCTGCTGCTGATGCTGGGAGTGTCGCCGGTAGCCAGGATAGCCGTACACCACGCTCGTGCTGCTGCCGGGCGGCAGTGCTGCTGCTACTGCTATTGTTGCTGGCCGCAGGTGCGACGCCGACGCCGAGGACGACGCCGGCAGTCACAACTAATCTTCGTCGCTGAGGGCATCGTACTTGGACAGCAGCAGCGGCTTCGATTCACCGGCCGCCGCCGCAACTGCAGCGGCCACAGCAGCAGATGCTTGCGATGAACTGGAATTGTGACCGCCAGCGCCGCCGCCACCGCCACTGCCGCCTGGTCCGCCTGGTCCGCCGCCGCCGGGGCCACCGCCACCGCCGGGGCCGCCGCCTCCGACCGAGACGCCACCTGGCACGCCAGCAATGCCGCCAGAGCCGCCGCCCACCACCAGGGACACGCCGCCACCCACTGCGCCCAGTTCACTCAGGGCGTGCGCTGCCTTGGCCTTGGCAAAGGCGCCGGGTGGTGCCACCGCCTGGTGGGCCAGCTGCAACGGCTGGTGCGGCGGCAGTCCTCCGGCAGCACTGGGCACATTCAGGGCGCTGTAGGGGAAGGCATAGGTGCTGGGTGCGTATGCCGCCGCCGGTGGGTGGTACGGCGAGTGGTGGCTATTGGCTCCCGAAACGGAGACCGAAACGGAGCCACTGCCGGCCGAGCGCCGTCCACTGACATCCACCACCTCGTACTGGTTGGGCGTCTTGCGCGACACACTGATCTCTGGCGGCGGCGGCTCCTTGTTCCTGTGCTGCAACTCCAGGGCGGCGGCGACATGGGCCGCGTGCGCCACATGTGCAGCATGGACGGCGGCGTGCGAGTGGGCCACCATATCGGCGGTTACTTCGTCATCGGTTCGCACCTCCACCGTCCGGTTCTTGCCATAGCCAATGTCGTCGCGCATCACCTCAGCGATGCGGGTCTTCACATAGTTGTCAATGGTGGTGGCACCGCCTCCGCCGCCGGAGCCAGGTCCCCCGGCGCCAGGTGCACCGCCGCCGCCGCTGGGCGTTCCTCGCTGCTCGGGCAGCACCACACGGCTGGGTAGGAAGAACTGTCCTACTGCCTCGCCGGCCGCTCCCGCTGTTCCCATCACATGATGCAGCATCATCTCGTGGTTGAATTTCCGCGGACTGACCGCCTGGGGCATTCGGATAATGTTGCGTCCATCCTCGCCAGGCGTGCTGGCTCTGCCGGCGCCACTGCCTCCGCTGCCCGGACCGCCCGCTGCTCCGCCCTGGCCAGCTCCGCCTGGTGCCGAGCCAGAGCCGCTGCCCGGCATCTGCGGGTGATGTTGCTGGGCATGATGCTGCTGCTGCTGCTGCTGGGCGTGATGTTGCTGCTGCTGCTGCTGCTGGGAATGGTGCTTCGCCTCCTCCGCCTTCTGTTGCATGCGGCGGTTCTGCTTCCATCGGTCCGGCGGCAGGATGGACTGCGTCTCCTGCAGATAGGCCATAAAGGGCGGCGTGGGCCGCAGGTGAGGATTGGTGCCGTAGTCATTGGTTATTATGGAATCGGTTAGTTCGCCGAAGGTAATGCTCTTTGTGTGGATCTGCTGCGGACTGGGCGCTGATCCGCCGGCCTGCGAGGTGGGCGTCCTTAGCTGGCTGTGCACGGATCTGGATTGCGACGACTGCGACTGCGGCGCAGCTTGCTGCTGCTGCTGCTGCTGCTGCTGGGCAACTGCTGCGGCTGCCGCGGAAAGGCGCTCCTGATCCAAATCAATGTTAATCACACTGGGCGATCCCGACGAGCTCGGCTTGCCGTTGTTCTCCGCCGTGAGCAGGGAGCCCGCGCCGCCCTCGAGCGGCTGGCGTAGATCGCGCAGGTACATCGGATGGAGCACATTGGCTGGCGAGGAGCGCGTGCCGGTGCCGCCTCCCGAGCCGGATCCACGTGGCGGCAGCGGCGCATGGACGAAGGATGGGCGCGGGAACTCGCGATTCGGACCAGCAGTGGCATCGTTGGAGCGGTTGATCTCATGCTTGATGATGGCGTCGATCAGGCTCTGGGCGCTCAGTTGCCCGGGCGTATCCTCCGGAGCTGGACCGCCGTGTGCCTGGCGATAGTACCTGTTGGGTAATTAGTTTCATTATATTGTCCACTACACGTATTTATTATATGGTTAACTTACGATTCCCGTTCGCGATCCGGTATGGAGCGCGGTGGACCAGTCTCCGGAACCGAGGCACGCAGGAACTGGCCGGGCGAGGGTCCCCCGCCGCCGGCACCACCTGCTGCAGTGACCACATTGCCGGCGAACATGCGCTCCATGCGCCGACTGTCGCGCTCCCGCTCCTCGGCCACCACACGCCGCTCCCGGTCCTGTTCACGTCGCTCCCGCTCCCGTTCCCGCTCGCGCTCGCGTTCCCGCTCCCGCTCCCGATCGCGCTGCTCCCGCTCGCGCTCGCGCTCCCTTTCCCGCTCGCGATCCCGCTCGCGCTCGCGCATCCGCTCCTGCATCTCCCTGTCCCGCTCGAGGGCATGGTTGTGCTGCTGCTGGGCCTGGTGCTGCTGCTGGTGCTGGTGGTGGCGCAGCACACGCTTCGCCTGATCCATGTGCCGCTGCATGTCCACCTGGGCCGCCACGTTGAGGCTGCGGTAGTGCTGTTGCTGCGCAATCTGCTGCTGCACCAGGCTGTGATGGTGGTGCAGGGTCAGGTCGCGGTACCGCTGGTCGTGGTGAGCGGTCGGCGGCGGCGGCTGCGCCACGCCGACCACCGCGTGTGGCGGCAGCGGCGAGGGACCCAGTGGTGGCCCAGCCACGGAGCCGGGCACTGGTCCCACCGCCGGCGCAGCGCCCGGCGACTTGTCATCCTTCTGCGACGGCACCGGCAGCTGCGGCTGCTGCACGGCCACGTCCACAAACGAGGCCAATGCGTCGTGGCCACCTATGGCAGTGGGGAGAACGAAGTGGGTGCTTTAGTTGCTGTGCCCTGATTCGAGAAACAAATAACTTACTTGGAGCATACTGATACGGGGGCATGTGCATCCTGCTCGGCAGCGGAGCAGCCGGCGAGGGCGGCTTGGAGCCCGTGTTGTGCCGCTGGATGACGCCCTGGCGCTGCGGCGGCGGCGTGCGATGCGGACTCGGAGTGCTGCATGGAAAGGGACGCATTAATAAGGATCACAGAGGGCATGCAAATCTCACTCACCTATTGGCATGATCCGCCGGCGAGGCGCGACTGGAGTACTCCGGTCGGCCGCGGGGCGCCGGTTCCTTGTCGCCGCCGTAGGCGAAGCCACTGGCACTGCCCACACTGTTGCGCGGCGAGGGCGACTCCTTGTCGGAGCCACCGCCGCCTCCGCCGCCACTGGCGCTGCTGCCGCGCGACATGTTGCGCTGCTGCTGCTGCTGTTGCTGCTGCTGCTGCTGGCCCTGCATCTGCTGCGAGGTGATGTAGTCGTGCATCACGATCTGACGCGTGCTCAGCACCTGCGGCTGCTCCACCACCCCGCCGAACGGCGAGCGCGCATAGGCGGAGCTGACACCCACACCATAGCCCTGCGGCGGTGGCGCCTGCGGCGACGACTGCTGCGGCGGCGGCGGCAACTGCTGGTTGCCACCCGGCTGCTGGGCGGGACTGTGCCGCTGGGAGCTCTTGTAGTAGCTCTCGTAGGGCCGCTTGCTCTCCAAGTGATGCGGCGGCATGTGCAGCGGCGTGCCCTGCGTTATGGAGCCATGCTTGCCACTGCCACCTGGTCCGCCTGGTCCGCCCGAGCCCACTCCCTCTGGGGTCGTCTGCCTGACCAGCCCGTCGAACTTGGGACTCAGCAGGGAGGAGGGTGCTGCGGCCGCCGTCGCCGGTGCGTGCACGATGATCTGTTGCTGGGCACTGTTCGCCGGGGTTCCATGGGTGATCGAGCCGCTCTTCACCAGCAGTTGCTGTTGTGCTGCGGCCGCCTGCTGCTGCTGCTGCTGCTGCTGCTGCGACGGCGAGTGTCCGTGGCTGGGGTGCAGGTGGTGCGCCTGCTGGGGACTCAGCTTGGGCGGCGCCTTGGCCACGCCCCTGCCGGAGGGCGGCTGTGCCGGCGGCGGTTGTCCAGCTCGCGGCGGCAGCTGGCCCTGCCCCGAAATGGAAATGGGTACCGGCACTGGGACTGGCTGCAGGTACAGCGCGCTGCCAGGCGCACTGGCCAGCACACCGGAGACGACGCCGACGCCGCCGACGCCGCCAACGCCGCCGGTGGCCTTGAGCACGCCGTGCGGCGGTGTGGGATACAGATAGGAGCTGGGCGCAGCCAGCGAGGGCACGCTCACGGTGTCACCGCGATACATGCCGCCAGAGCGGACGATGTGCTTCATCGGCATGGTCGGCGGCGGCGGGCCATGGTGTCGGTCCGCGGAGGACGGTCCGCCCGACACGGAGCCAGATCCGCCGGCGCCCGTGTGCGGCGAGTGGCCATCGCGCGGCGGCTTCTTGATGCTCAGGTCCAGGGTTTGCGGCTCCGGTTCCGGCACCTGCAGCTGCGGATGCTGGCCGTGCGACGGATGCGACGGATGCTGCGGATGCTGCGAATGCTGCTGGTGCTGCGGATGGGCCGGATGCTGTGTGTGCGGATGCACCGAGTGCTGCGGCGGCGGCGGAATGCCACGTTGCGGATGCGCCGCTGGCACATTGTAGATTATGGTCTCCGGCGGCGTGGGCGTCGAGTGGCTGGAGGTGCCGCCGCTCTTCGAGGCGCCGCTGGAGCTCTTGACCACCGGTGTTATGGTGGCCTTGTCCACGCCGACTCCTCCAGCGGCACTGGCATGCGCCATTAGGCCCGGATGCCCAAGCTGGCCCACCACGCCCATGTGCGAGTTGACCACCGACAAGGTGGCTAGACTGTCGCTGGTTCCGTTGTTGCCTGTGCTGGTGGGTGTCAGTGGATGAGCCGGTGGCGGCGGTGCCACTGCGGCTGGTCGGGATGATAGCTTCTGCACGGAGGTGCCATGCGGCAGGCTGCCGGCGCCCGAGGTGGGCGGTGCTCCTGCCTGCTGCTGCTGCTGCTGCTGCTTCAGGATGCCCGGATCCTGGCGGTATTCCCTTACAATGGTCACCTCCTTGCGCTCCACGTTGTTGGCAGCTTGCTGCTGCTGCTGCTGCTGCTGCTGCTGCTGCTGGGATGGGGACTGGCTCTGGCCTGGAGGCTGACCCTGTGCCTGACCCTGCTGCTGACCCTGTCCTTGTGCCTGACCCTGCTGCTGACCCTGTCCGCCCTTGGGCTGCGGACCCTTGTGCTTCAGCGAGCGCTCGATCACGGAGAAGACGCAATCCTGGACATTGTTGACCGCCTCGCGCCGCATACTAATCGGTCCGTTGAGCTGCTGGCCCGGAGCTCCAGCGGCTCCAGCCGCCACCATATTGGCCGCCGGCGGCTGGAGGCCCGCCACATTATTGGCATGGCCGCCATGTCCATGGCCATGGCCGTGGAACAGGACCTTGGGACTCTGGCGATTCGCCGGCGAGTTCTCGTTCTCCTCGTCCGCCGTTTCCGTGGCCGAGGAGTCGTACTCCTCGCTGGTCTTCTGCTTCTTCGGTGCCTGGCCAGCGGCGGGCGGCAGCAGGCGGTCATTGTCGCCCGCCGGCTGGGCCACGCCCGCTCCCGCCTTGCTGCCCATTCGGGTCGGCGTGATAATCAGTGGCGTTCCCTGGTCGCCACCGCGCGCCATCGAACCCTTCTGCTGCGGAGCTGGCGGTGGCTGTGGCTGCGAGAGCTGCTGCTGCTGATGCTGCTGATGCTGCTGATGCTGCTGCTGCTGCTGCTGCTGCTGCTGCTGCTGATGATGATGCTGCTGCTGCTGCTGCTGCTGCTGCTTGACCAGCGTGAGCGACTTGTGCCGCTGCAAGTTCTCCGGACTCTCAACGGACGCGGTATCAGAGCCACCCGGCTCCCGCTCATCGCACGAGGAGGTGCTGACATCCGTCTCGTCGCCGCCGCTGCCGCTGCCCGCGCCGCCGCTGGAGCCGTCGGTGAGATTCAGCTGCGGATCCAGCTTGCGGCGGATGCGCATCAGGCAGGCCGAGCAGCAGCGGGTGGCGTGCGGCGGTATCTGGAACTCGGCCATCACCGGGTCACGCAGCTCGGGCGCCAGTTCGAAGAGGCGGGAGGGAATGTTCCGCAGCCGCTGGGCCCGATCCTTGGGATTGGGGCACGTGGGCAGCGGGCAGTTGGGATAGCGGCTGCGCACCGACTTGCACTGGCAGCTGTTGCAGACCCGCGCGCCCGCCGGGATCGTCTCGTCCGGGATGCCGTACTGCTGGCCACGCCCCTTCTTCAGTGGGCGGGTGCGCGGACACGCCTCCGCCTTGCACACGAAGCAGCTGGCCAGTTTGTCTGAAAGAAAGTGAAGGTGAGATTCCAAGGTTAGTGGATGAATTTCATTTGCTCGATTATTCACTAAACTACTTCAATTAAATCGCACAAAGCCAGTTAGGAACTATGAGCAGCTGCTGCTGCCGGATGCCCAGGAATGTGGATCCAAAGATGATCCTCCCCATCCCTTGATGCACTTGAGTTGCCACGAGCTTATTTCTAATACCATTAATTCGCGCATAAAGCGGCGCCAAGTATTTGAGGAGTGTAGGCAAAAGTTATGCAAACACATTAAAAAATGCGATTTAATTAAAGCCACTGGTCAGGAAAAGGAGGCAAGTCCTGGTGGCAAGTTCAGCAGCGAACAGGGCCACGCTTTCATTAAGCCACTTAACAAATAATGAGCAGCAGCCAATTGAATATTTCAGAGCGACTGCCACCCACTCCTCAGTTTTCCTCGCTGGGAAAAGCGGCGCAGGACGATTGCTGATGGATGGATGGATGGATGGATGAATGGATGAATGGATATATGGATGGAAGGATGGTTGGTTGGTGGGATCACCGCACTTGGTGGATAGTACGAAATAATATCGGTAAGCAGAAGGCGAAGGCTGCTAATATTTGGGAAATCGTACTTTCAAGTTTTCTTCTGACATTCAAAATATATTACAACACTCTCTTAATGAAATATCTGACTGATATCTGAAATTGACAATGGGAAAACTCTGTTAAGTACCTAGGTATACCCCTTGATAAAAAGATTATCTTCAAGGCACATATTAATAAAACAGTTGACAAAATAAACAAGACCATTCGCATATTATATCCGTTTATAAATCGGAACTCTAAGCTGTCCTTTAAAGATATATTACTAATTTACAAACACGTTTTCCTACCCACTTTTCTTTATGGTTCTGAGATTTGGGAAAATTGTGCACATACTCATATTAAAAAAGTGCAAACAACTCAAAATGGGATTTTAAAAATGATCCTCAATCTTCCCTTTTATTTTTCAACTTGTAAATTGCACGATAAAGCAAATAACAGGTTGGCAAATATCTCCCTTCCGCTTCTTTGCTCTTTATTCAATGCTTTATAAAAAGTGTTACAGTGATCGGATTTAGTTCAAATATGCGCCGTTTGGTTCGATAATCTGTTTCCATCTAGACGGCAACTTCATAATACCTCCCTCGTAAAAACCCCCCTCCTTATAAAGCCGACTGATGTTATCATCAAACGAAACACAAATAAATTTAATTTCAAATTAACATCAAGTGCGAGCAGATACTTCACTCAAGTTTGCCCAAGTTAGTTTTACTGAAGTTTTGGCTCTTTAGTTGATAAGTTAGTTAAATAATAGTGCTGAGTTCATCTGCTCAAGGTTTTTCGTACCACTTTTTCCTTGCTTAAATCATGTTGAATCAATAAATTGTAATATTAAATACATTTAACATTTTTCAGTTGTAAAGATGCCTTAAAATCGAATCTCTGTAAAGTACATTTAAGCTAGTTTTAAGCAAAAATATTATAAAAATGCTATGAAAAAAAAGCAAACTCATTAAAAAAAAATATAATATATATTTGTGAAAGTATTGCCATACATTCTTCCTGCTCAAGGTTGTGTCATGAGTATTTGGCTTAGGAATCAAGCTCAATCGCTTTCAAACATTTTTCAAGGCTTAGAGCTGAATGAAAACTCGCTATAAAGTGGATTATCGCAGAAAACATCCCCCTAACCAATGAAAACACACGAAAGCCACTGAAAAGCCAGATTCGGTGGCGAAAATTTGTGTTTGTCTTAGTTTTTGTTCAGCCACTTTAATAATTTTCAAATTTTAATGATGTGCAAATAGCGAGGAGCGGGGGGCAAGGCAAACACAATTGCGGCATTTAGCCAAAATCAATGTAATTAAAATAAGGCGAGCGAGTTGGGCTGATGAAGTGAGTGGAAATGGGGTGGCGAAATAAAGAATAATTGCAAGTAAAATCAATCAGCGTTTTAAATGTCAGATAGACGGGATGCTGGCCAAACTCAGACTGGGAGATGGGTGTCCTTTTCGTCCTTGTGGCGCCAGCAGTCTGCTTCCTTCCCGCCGCCCTTCCCCGCCCACCAAGCCACTGCACTTTCTCCGGCCTGCGTATTTCGCGAGTCTCGGTGGAATATGAAAATACATCAAAGTAGCCTCCGCTCACTTTGCACCACCTGCCACCCCACCACCCAACCACCCACTTCGCCCCACTTTATACGTTGTCCGAGCAAAGGAAGGAAAAAACTGATGAGTTTTTTTAAATGTTTATTATTATAAAGCGACGAATCCGTACATGCAGTACTAGTACCATAACATTGCAATTAAACATATAAATAATATAACCAAACTTCTCACTTATCGTGGGAAGACTAACAACAGAGTCTCAAACGTCGAGGGGGTCTTTAAAGCTGTCCAATTGTTTTGGCAAAGCCCTTTCTTTTAAGCCTTCTTAGAGGCCTGGCAGGGAGTAGGCGTCTTGCTAGCATGCTGTGGTGTCTTTTAAGCCTATCACTGTATCTGCTTGTGTGCCTTGAGATCTGTTCTTCCACTGTATGCAGATTAAGGTCCCGATGAAGGGTTGAGCTACGTACATAGTATGGGCAGTTGGTGATGGCACGCATTGCACGATTTTGCAAGACCTCAATGCGTTTATAGTTCGATTTTGCAGCAATACCCCAGATCTGCACTCCATATAGCCAGATCGGGGCTATACAGTGGGCGTATACTGCCCTTTTGGCTCTAAGTGTCATGGTGCTTCTTCTGTTGATCAACCATCGCAGTTGTTGCATTCTCTGACCGCATCTCCGTGCCGCAGCTTTTAAGTGTGGGCCAAAGGTCAACCGTTTGTCAAGGGTGATCCCAAGGTATTTAGCCTGCAGAGGTTGTTCTAGGGTTACGCCATCAAATTGTATGGGTGGTGTGCGCCTAATGAGAGTCTTCAAGGTGAAACAAGGATTGATGGTCTTATGTGGATTTACCTTTAAGTTCCATCTTTTGCACCATGCAGCCAAAGTATTGAGATACTCTTGGAGGCCACGTGCTGCCTCAGTGCAAGAACTGGAGCTGTATAACAGTGCGATATCGTCAGCGTAAGTGGCGAGTAGGGCCTTCCTGGGAGCTTCCATATGGTGCATATTTGGGCAAGGCAAATCCGCGGTAAATATTGAGTAGAGCAGCGGGCCGAGGACGCTGCCCTGCGGAACTCCAGCTCTCATGTAGCAAGGGGTTGAGTAGGTGCTTCTGACCCTGACCATGAACTTCCTATCTTCCAGGTAAGATTTCAGGACTCCATAGTATGGTGCTGGAAGCAGCTTTTTTATTTTGCAGAGTAGGCCGATATGCCAGACTCTGTCAAATGCTTGCTGCATGTCAATAAATACAGCATTGCAGTATTCCAAGTCGTCAAACGCCTGAATAATGTGCTTAACCAGTCTGTGAACCTGCTCCACAGTGCTGTGTCCCTGTCGAAATCCAAACTGGTGATCTGGGAGGATACGGCGCTCCTTAATAAAGTCACCTAGTCTGTTGGCAATCAGCCTTTCCCATATCTTGGATAGCGAAGACAGCAGACTTATGGGCCGATACGATTCCGGATCCTCTTCAGGTTTCCCAGGCTTATGTATCATGAGAATTGCTGCCATTTTCCACTGCTTTGGGAAGGACTGCACCCTAAATATAGCATTAAATATTTTCGCCATGTATAGGATGGCTCGGAGAGGTAGCGCTTTTAACGTGGCATTACAGACATTGTCGATGCCAGGAGTCTTCTTTATTGGCATTGATTTAATGACTTCGGCAATTTCCTCAACCCTGATTGGTTTAATTGGTAGCGACATTTGTAGGGGTATCTCTAGGCTGTCAAGCGTCTCTCGATTCTGCTCCATTGTAGCGAATTGGTAATGGGTGAACCTAGTCTCCAAATGATTTGCAAAGGAATTGGCCTGTTCCTCCTCGTTTTTAGCAAGTTCACCTCCCGGGCATCTAATGGGTACCTGTCTGAACGGTTGTCTTTTGAGGGATTTGGTGGACTTCCAGAGTGAATACCCAGCATCCACCGTATAGTCCATAGAAGCCAGCTTCTGCTCAAAAAAGATACTTCGAAGGTCTCTTACCACATTTCGTAGTTGTTTTGCAGCACGGTTCCATAAGATGCGGTCCCAGGGATCTTGAGATCGGATTGCTCGCCTTCTGAGTCTCCTTTTCTGTGTCAGGAGCTCTCTAGCCTCTCTTGTTAGGGATATTCCATAGGGGGTGCCTGTCCGAGGAACAGAAGGCGTAGATGCAGTCGCAGCCCTGTGAATACTTTGCGTAAGGTGATCAACAGCCATTTCAATTTCTTCACCAGAATTTAGCGTGATGTTCAACGGGATCATGCTCTCCAGTTGTTGACTAAAAGCGAGCGGGTCAGTGTGCTTGTTGACTAATCGTGGACTTGGATTCACATGGGTACTATCTGTCACAATACTGATGATCAAAGGCAAGTGATCGGAGTCCAGATCCCAACTTTGTGTTATACTTGTTAGGGAATCTGGTATACCATGATGCACCGCGAAGTCAATGCAGGAAGGCGTATGACTGGGTACATAAGGATACCTGGTTGGCGAACCAGTTGCAAGTATCTTAGCTCCAGTGATAGAGATGGCTTCCGCTAGCTCACGCCCCCGGGGTGAATTGTAGGTGTCGCCCCAAAGCCAGTGTCGGGCGTTCCAGTCGCCACCAATCATATACCGTTGGCCGCAAGAGCGTATTGTGTCAGTAAATTGTCTTTCGTCGATACTAACACTGGGAGGACAGTAAATGGCGCCGAACTGCACGTCACCCAGTCCTGTAGCTACTTTTACTGTAGACATTTGTATGCTGCGTGTCTCTATGACCCTTTGCGGGAAATGGCGAAGAGTTGTCCTAACGAACACGGCTGCTCCACCAACGCTATTATTATTTTGCGATGGCCTAAATGCTGGATAGAAAGCATAACCATATATCTTAACAGTA